AAATAACCATATTTAAAACGTAATAATCAATTTAATCTAGCTTGCGCTCACTGTTGTAAAGGGAAGCAGTTCCGGGAGGATGACGTATGGAGGTCGGCATTGCGCATGCGCTGCTCAGAAGTGACACGTACACGGAAACGCAGCGGAGAGATCAAAACAAAACAACGATCACTTATTAGAAGTACAAAACGAGGATTTGTAAAGAAGAATGTCAGAGGATTTCGATATAAGCCAAGAGGAGACTGGTTTTCCTTTGCTACAGTAAGGAAACTTTGCTTTCTTTGCTCCTGTTAACAAACGTTGGTTTTCACGAGACTCACCGGCACATGCGCAGCGCTGAACTCATACGTCATCCTCCCGGAGCTGCTTCCGTGTAGGACTGTTGGCGCAAGCTACATTAAAGTGATTATTACGTTTTGAATATGGATATTTTTCTTACAAAAACGCATTGATTCGCTACAGGACGCCTTTGTTCACCCCCTGGAGCCGTGTGAGACTTTTTTTAATGGATGGGCGCTTATTTCACTTCTTCTGGACTGATGCACTGCAACACCCGCTGACTGGCATTAAACAGCTTGAAAGATCAAAGACAATTTTTTTATACAACTCTGACTGGATTCGTCTGGAAGGAGAAAGTCATATACACCTAGGATGCATTGAGGGCGAGTAATTTATGGGCGAATTTTCATTTTTGGGTGAACTAACCCTTTAAGTGAGTGACTGAGGTTTCAAACAAGGATGATGGAAGCTAGAGTTAAACCACATATAAAGGACAGGTTTTTTTGCTTTACGTGAGAAACAATGAGTAAAAACAGACAAGATTTCTTGCTAATGTCTCAGACACAAAAAGGGGTGAATGTGAACTTCCCCAACCACAAAGACACACATCCACACACCACCTGAATGATGAGGTTAATCTGACAGTCTAAATGGTACGGTGTCATTTCAGTTTCAGTTTAGTGACAAAGTGCCTATTAAATGAATTTCAGTACGAGTTACTACCTTTCAAATGCTTGGGATCAGTAAGACTTTTCTTTTTTTGAAAGAAGTCTCTTATACTCACACCAAGGCTACATTTATTTGATCAAAAATAAAGTAAAAACAGCAATATTGTAAGAACAATATTACAATTTGAAAACTTTTCTATTTGAATATATTTTAAAATGTAATTTATTCCTGTGATGCAAAGCTGAATTTTCAGCATCATTACTCCAGTCTTCAGTGTCACATGATCCTTCAGAAATCATTCTAATATGCTGATTTGCTGCTGAAGAAATATTTCTCATCAATGTTGAAAACAGTTTTCTTGCCTAATTGTTGTGGACTGTGATACTTTTTTTTCAGGACTCTTTGATTAATAAAGTTCAAAAGAACCGCATTCATTTAAAATAAAAATGTTTTTTTATTATTTATAAATATCTTCACTGTCATTTTTGATCAATTTAATGGAAACTTGCTGAATAAAAACATTTCTTTAAAAACCATAAAAATAAAAATCTTACCATCCCCAAACTTTTGAACAGTACAAACAAATGGCCACTCGTAACACGGGAATGGTCAAACAGAAATAAATAGTTGTGACTGACATGGAAATGACCTCAGTCTTGATTCACTGTTTACACTCACCACAGAGCCAGAGCCCAACTGAGGGGGAAAGACAGGAAGTACAATTACCAACTAAATAACTTCTACTCGGAGAAGCACAATAGCAAATATTTATAGTCAATGCAACCAAACATATTAGACTACTCTGAAATACAAAAACATCCCTGCTCACCTTGGTGTCAGTTTTGGTGGCAGATTGTTTGATGAAGGATTTCATAATGGAGCTGCGGCCCAGAGACCCAGGCGTCATCATCAGCATCTGGTTCTTCTGCACCGTGTGCAAGAATGATCGCATGTGTGGAGCAGTACTCTACAGGGACACAACAAATGGACACATAATGGATTGTCTGGTCCGATCCAAGACTCGCTAATCAAATCTTCAAGAAATCATTCAAAATCCTTTTTACAGAATGCAAACAACCACGATGTGGACTTCTGCGGAAAGCTTCTCCTCTCAACAAGACTCAGACTGTTGTGGCTTCATAATGGATTAGTTTTGGTGGATGGACAGTATTATGGTGGTCAGAGATGCTCATACCGTGAGGCACTTCTTCGGAGGAGATTGTTTTTTCTTGGGTGTGTTGCTTTCCTGAGCGGAGTGACGCTTTGTGCCTGAACGCGTAGGCCTGATGGAAAAGCACAAAGACTATTAGAAAACATACGGCATAAATCCACCAACTATAACGAGGAAAACAAATTAGCAGTGTGCTCACCGGCCATCTCCTTTGGATTTTGCTCCATCTGTTACAGGAAAATAAATAGATAAATATTGAAACCTTACTTGTCAACCCAATTGCACGCTCTGTTTTTAATATCAGCAGATCTGTTAGACATGTACCCGTTTCTGAAGTACGGGCCATGGATCGTGTGAAGCGACAGTTCTCAGTGGTGCTAGATTCAGCAATCTCTTCTGGAAGTTTGTCTTTTACCTCAGGTTCCATTTCTTCAGTCTTCTCGGGTTCAGGTTCCTATGAAATCACCCAGCCATCAGTTATTTACAAATTGCAATGTGCAATAAAAAAAAAAGTTTCTAACATCATACTAACGGTGTTTGCTTATGGCCTGTTCACACTAAGAACTATAAATATAGAGTACTGTGCAAGAGTTTCAGGCCATTACTATTTTCACCAACAAAAAAAAGTGGTTTTAAGCCAGTTATTTCTATCTTTTGCTGTAGTGTGTCAGTAGGAAATATCAGTTTACATTTCGAAACATTCATTTTGCCATTAACTGTAAAAATCCAGTGAGATTTTTTGTATACACAAGCACTCTGAAATCAGCCAGCGCTCCACACATAGATCTGATCTCATCATCATCCAGTCCATCGGATTGCGGTCAATGTTTGTATTGTTCAAATCAACTTGTTTGAAAGTGATCAATTATATTGTTCCTCCGTAACATCATCGTAATAGCTCTGTTACGATTTTCTTAAATTTAGAAAAATTTGGAAAACTTTATCCTTATTATTGTCCTTGCTGTGAATGGGCCTTAAATCTGGCTCTTGTGTCTTTTATTAGCAAAGGTAAATAAAAACCACAGCAGAACGTTCTTCTCACCTCAGTTTGGACTATTTCTGGTTCAGGTTTGGTTTCAGAAGCTGGTTCAGTGACCATTTGCGGTGCATCAACCCTAAAACAGAACAGTGAGACCGTGTTTAAAAGATCTCGACTGATAACTGAAAGGTTATGGGTTTGAATCCCAGAAGAAACAATTCAACAACTGAAATAGAAAGTAAAAGCACTCACTGTTCTTCTTTGTTCTCCATTTCCTCAGTTTCAACATCCATACAGATGTCTTCTGGAAAGAGCAATGAAGATATAGATGACAAAGCTAACAAAGAAACTTAATCACTTTAAACAGCACAAATAATAAAGCAATAAATCCTATTAAGGCATTCAAACCGATCTCAAACCATTATATTACAATTGGAGTTGGCGACGCGAAACAATGAGTTTAGTTTTGTAGCTGTGACTGTAAATGTAAAAGTCTCACCACTGACAGAGCTGCTGCAGATCGAGTTTCCCAGTCTGGCTTTCTTCTTCAGAAAAGAACGCCGGGATGCCCTGCGAACAGCTTCCTGGGTCATGCTATGCCTGAGGCCCACCAGAGAACGGCGTACCACCAGCGAGCGCCGAGCTGATGTCCGAGATGAGCCCTGAGGTGTCGTCTGCAACCCAAATGCAGTGATGGGGATTTTATTAGCGGATCGGCCCGGAGACACACCAGCGTTCAGCAGCGAATCTGCACTCAGACGCTCCGAGGAGGAAACCTTCACCACGGCTTCAGACACCAGGATCTGATCCTGATTGGAGCCTGAATCCTGCACCTCAATGGCTTCATTCACATCTGGAATGCTCTCTGCCACTTTTTCCACCTCCTTAGCTTTGGCGCCACCTTTGTTACGGGTGCTGCGCTTGACCGGTTCAGTTTCAGCCGGGGCAGTGGTTTTGTTGCGACGCGTGCGGCGAGAAGGTTCCTCCATCAGGCTCTCAGAGCTGTCGGTCGGCACGTGTGGCGTAACGAGTTCAGAGAGGGTGGTCAGGGTCATCTGGACCGAGGAGCGACGCAGGTTGCTGCGTTTCCCCTTGGAGAAACTACAGAGAGACAATGACATCATATACTACATTGTATGAGGAAAAATAAATCTGCTAATTTGAGTTTGCATTTCCTGGGAATCAAACCCATGACCTTTGCGGTGCTGGCACCATGCTTTACTGTTGAGCTACTGGAACGTAGGTCTGCACAACTAATCATAACAAAATTAGATAGATTTGTGAAGTTAAATAGATTTGCAAAGAGAAGCTTGAAGTTCACAAGCAACAAAAGTTGATGTTTCACGTTTGAAAATTAAGAAAAGCCATAAATATTAGTATTATAATCTTACATTTGTACTGTAAAAAAATTCTTATACTCATCTCATTTTAAATGCAATTGTAATATTTAGTATTTTTTATTTAATATATGCACATTCAGGTGCATCTAAAAAAATTTGAATATCGTGAAAGTTTTCTTTATAACTTATCAAAGTTTCACTTTTTGAAATATATTCTACATTCATTACATTTAAAGTAAAACATTTCAAAAGTTTGTTTAATTTTGATGATTAGAGCTTACAGCTCACGAAAGTCAAAAAATGCAGCATCTCAAAATATTAGAATATTTACATTTGAGTTTCATTAAATGACCATCCCTATAGTATAAATTCCGGGTATCTCTTGTTCTTTGAAACCACAATAATGTGGAAGACTGCTGACTTGGCAATGGTCCAGAAGACAATCACTGACACCCTCCACAAAGAGGGTAAGTCACAGAAGGTCATTACTGAAAGAGCAGCTGTTCACAGAGTGCTGTATCAAAGCATAAATGTAAAGTTGCCTGGAAGGAAGAAATTGGGTAGGAAAATGCGCACAAGCAACAGGGATGTTTGCAAGCTTAAGAATACTGTCAAGCAAAGCTGATTAAAACACTTGGGAGAACTTCACAAGGAGTGGACTGAAGCTGGAGTCAGTGCATCAAGAGTCACCACGCTCAGACGTCTTCAGGAAAAGGGCTACCAAGCCACTTCTGAAACAGAAACAACGTCAGAAGCATCTTACCTGGGCTAAGGAGAAAAAGAACTGGACTGTTGCTCAGTGGTCCAAAGTCCTCTTTTCAGATAAAAAAAATAAATAAGAAATTCAGAAATCAAAGTCTGGAGTCTGGAGGAAGACTGGAGAGGCACAGAATTCAAGCTGCTTCAAGTCCAGTGTGAAGTTTCTGAAGTCAGTGATGATTTGGGGAGCCGTGACGTCTGCTGGTGTTGGTCTATTGTGTTTTATCAAGTCCAAAGTCAATGCAGCCAGAAGACTCAATAGTGCCTCAGCAGTGCCACAGGCTGATCGCTTCATGCCACACCTCACTGATGCTGGAGTTTGTGCCCCAACCAAGTATTGAGTGCAGAAATTAACATACTTTAAAGAACTTGAACTGTTGTTTTGGAAATCCTTTTTTTTTTTTTTTATTGATCTTAGGAAATATTCTAATATTTTGAGATATTGGATTTTTGACTTCCATGAGCTGCAAGCTCTAATCATCAAAATTAAAGGGGTCATATGATGTTGCTAAAAAGAACATTATTTTGTGTATTTGGTGTAATGAAATGTGTTTATGCGGAGGCCGGCGGGCCTGAGTGAGCGGTGGTGGGCGGGCTTGAGAACGGCGCGGCCCGGCGGGCTTGCGGCAACCACACGTGAGATATCGTTCTCTTTTGGAAGGCCAAACAAAGTAGTTTCGCTTTCACAAAACACACAGAACACAAACACGTCTTCACGACATGGCGGCAGCAACAATACTACAGCGAGAATAAAAGTTACGCCTTCTTTCTTTGCGCGAACATTTGGGCGGCATTATGCAAAGCTTCCCACATCGTGACGTAGACATGTGGGGGCGTGTTAGAACGAGCCGTTTTAGGTAGGTGTGGCTGACTCTGAACTTTTATAAAGAATATCTCTTTGGATTTGAGACTTTAGTCTTTGCAACTTTACAGATCTTCTTTATGCACCAAGAGCTTGTAACACTCCAAAGAGAAAGGAAAAATTGAAATCGCATCATATGACCCCCTTTAAAACAAAAAAACTTTTTGAAATGTTTCACCTTTACATGTAATGAATCTAGAATATATGAAAGTTTCACTTTTTGAAATAAGTTACAAAAAAAACTCAACTTTTCCAACGATATTCTAATTTTTTTGAGATGCACATTTCAGACAGCTCACCAGTAGCGCTTCAACGGACGAAAACACACAATTATGTCAACAAAATGCGCGGTTTTGGCGAGTTACCTTGTAAACGTGGTCTTAAATGAGTTATAAAGTCTTAAATGACCGTAAAGAGTTGGGAGAAAATCGGATGTCAGATCCACGTCATATGCATCAGGTTTTAAAGAGACAGCGCTGATTTTAAAGTGAAACCTGCTGAAGTCTGTCATAGATG